AAAAACAAAAGAAAAGACTCGGAATTCAAAAAAAAAAAAAAAAGGAGTGAAAAACACCAAAATCAAAAAGTATCCATCTTTTGGGCTCTTATGAGGACCATTATCACAGACTGTAATTAGACATTTTGTAAACATCCCACGGCCCAGTCTGGTTTTGTTTGGTCTAATAGACTGGGCCCCATGACAACAATCCAAACGTAGGCTTGTTGGTTGTCTGGATGTGGTGCATCAATAATGCAGTATTTTCATTTTTCATTTTTTTCTTAGGTTGCAGGACCCCTTCGACTCTGTAACTCACTTTATGATTTAAATTTAAAATTTTTTATTTTTACAAAAATGAGATTATCACTGTACATCAATAATGTAGCTTAGTTATCGATTTTTTTTTTTTGAACGTTAAAGTATGAATCAAATCTATGCTTAGGTTTTCGAGTCTAGTAACGTCAGATCACGTATAAGTACTTTTTTTTTTTTCAGGACAATAGTTCAAACTTAATCCTTTGTAAATTTGTTAAAAAAAAAAAAAGTATGAATCGAAATCTCATACTTATCAAATTTTATATATTCATACTTATCAAATTTCATATGAAAAGTGATCACTAGGCACAAGGACGTTCTCGTAGCTTAGCCATTGTTGTTAATGTTTTGGAGTTGAGGTTCTGATACTGCCAAGACAAGGCGTGCACTCAAAATTATTCCTTGCACCACTGTCAGCAAAAATTCAGGAGAGGAGGTAAAAATAATCGTAAAAAATATTAACCCAAGCAATGTAAATTACCAAGTGCCAAATCATTGATTTAGGGAAATGATTTTTCGTCCAATGAAATTTTAGGTAGTGAAATTCCATCCATGAATTAAAGTCCAAACAATATAACCATGAATCACATGGGTAATAACCCCTGTAGTCCTCTAGATTTTTTAGAGAAATGGAAAGTGACACCCACATTTTTCTGAAAAAAGTGGCACTAGAAACATTTACAAGACCCCCATTCATGTGTAAATTCAAAGTTCATAGGACAATGTCAGGGGACAATTTTGCACTGTGTGATAGAGCGTGGATATTGCTGACTCGTGGGACTCCACCGCCTATGTAATGCTGTAGCTTACCTAATATTGAGCTGCAGATCTTGTCCAGCAAAGAAGAGACTGGTTAGTCTTTTTAATTGACTGTTGAGTTTTACAATAAAATAATGGTTTTCCTCTATATAAGTTATGTCCTTGCGTGAGGTATATCACATTCACCTTCATAATTAAGGTTTGTTCTTTGGAGAGAGAGACAGCAAAAATGGCAGGGGAGTTCAAGCACCTTGTGCTTGTTAAGTTTAAGGAGGGTGTGAATGTGGAGGAGATCATGAAAGGAATGGAGAAGCTAGTTTCTGAGGTTGATCTCGTCAAGTCCTTGGAATGGTTAGTCTTTCCATAATCTTATATTTATGCTTCTGTTTCATTGTGACATTAAGAGCTTTTCCATGATCAAACGTATGGATCTTGAAATAGATCATTCTAGGAAATTTAGATTGAAGTATTCTCTTCTTCTTCTTCTTCTTCTTTTTATGTTAATTGCATAACGGAAGACAACTCTCTTTCATCATTTATCACATCTCATCTATATATTATGTGACTTAAGATCAGAATCTTTTATTTCCAATGGAAAGATATTACCATTGAGTTAATCCTTGGATAGATTGAAGTATTTTGATATCATATTAGAAATATTTTGCCTAAAATCTTAAGTTGTAATGTTTAAGGAACAGGATGGTATTGCTTTTAATCTAGCTGCTTTTTTATTATCCTTTTAATAGGGGTAAAGATGTGGAAGGTGAAGAGAAGCTTAGGCAAGGCTTCACTCATGCCTTTTTAATGACATTTGACAAGAAAGAAGACTATGCTGCATTTGCCGGCCATCCGAACCATCTTGAATTCTCTGCTACATTCTCTGTTGCTATTGAGAAGATTGTTTTGCTTGATTTCCCAACTGTTCTTGTCAAGGCACCAAAATGATCTACAACATTTTCCAACAACTAGAGCCTACTTTCCTTTTAAAAGAAAATGAAATATTAAGATGTACAAGTATATGTGTGAGCACATGTATTGTCTGCACGGATGATTATCATATGTTTTGGATTGTTATTGATGTCACCTTCAATGGACTCTTTGTTGCTAGTTGTTATCAAATATCATCCATAATTTTAAGATTAGCCTTAATCATGATGGTCCCATCACGAAAACTCTGTTTACCACATGATTGAACAAGGCTGAGATAATTTTCCCATCTAATTTGTATCTTTCTGAATCTGAATGCAACTCTTTTGGCTTGGACACAAAGAAAATGACCTATGAATTTGAAAGTAATATATAAAAAAATACCATGAAACACAATAAATGATCTTTTTGAAAAAGGAGAAGTGGGAAAAAGGAAATATGGCCATTTTTCTATGATGGTGGATATTTAAAAAGGATCAAGCTGAAAGATGTATTCATTTACACATGAAGAAAAGATTCCTTGTTTCCTACTTTCTCCTAATCTCTGTACACCCAAGGCATCAGCACATTTGTTGTATCTTTCTACTTTCTATTTTGTTTTCTTTATTTCTTTATGCTATTTGACACAAGGAAACAGAATGCAAACTTCAAGAAAATCAATCTCCTGCTTGCCAAATATAGAATCATCATTGCAATTGTTGGATTATAAAATCAACTAATAATAATTTATATAAACTTGTAAATGAATAGATGGATCTTAATTCTATAACATTTATATATTTGATGTTATATGACATCTCAATCAGATTTGACATGTTAATAGAATAACAAAGAAATGAGTCTCATTCTCTTTCTCTATATGCTTTGATTTATCATCTTAATTTTAATAATGTGTCAAGTTATCTTTTAACTTATCATTTATTTATTTATTTTTAATTTTAAGCTGTATAATAAGAGATAGTCCTTTTTCATTCTTCACTCCATCTCACTCATGTACAATGGAATTCAAACTCAAGATGTCTTATGTTTAATAAAAGAGATTCTTATGCTAATAAAAATATTTTATTATTAAACTACTCAAATCATTGGTATTATTCAACTTACTTATAATTGTTAAAAAATAAAAAAAAATAATCTTCTTTAAAATATATAAATAGAGAAAACTTGTCTTCTTTTCTTGTTCGTTTATAAAAGACATTGTATCATTATCTCAGATTAATTGCAATGCACATTGTTAATGAGATTGTGCTCTTTTTCCTTCTCTATTCCTAAAGAAAGTGGAAAATTAGTAATCTTCTGAAGATTCCAACATGGGCCTTTCAATCCATGAAAGAAAAGCATTCATAAAATGCACTCAACCCAATTTGTTGTCAAGGGTGGCGATGGTCCCTTTTTCAGCCTTTCTTGTGATGGGCTTATATGCGCGTTTGGCTTATTTCACAAAACCCCCAAATCCACCCCTTCAAATAAGGGTAGATCGGTAGAGAAAGATCCACTTTTAAAAAAATATATAAATAAATTACTTTATTAAATTATAAATTAAAATAAATTACTTATTTTTAACATAGATGTCAATTTTTCTTTAAAAAATACTTACTTGCTAAATAAAATTCTAATTACACATATTAAAAAAATAATAATTTATTTTAATTTATAATTTAAAAAAACAATTTACTCATACTTTTTTTTTTTTAGGATAGATCTATTTCTACTCCTTTAAAAACGGATTTGAAGGTTTGGCTGGCCTGTTCCACAATAGATTTTCCCTTCTCTCTAATGACCCATTTTCCTGCTCTTTGCTTAAACACCCAAGATCTATGTGCACGGGATTCCGCTTTTCCCCTTTCTAGTTTGCTCTTTGTCCACTTGGATGCCATTTGTAAAAAGCTGGTGAGCCTCCACAATTGACTTCTGGGTAATGCTGGAGATGAAACTAACAGTTGTTGAAAGGAGAGGAGGAAAGAAAGGAAGTCACAGGGAAATTGCACGAGGAGTTTATGGTATGTGGTCCCGAACAGAAAGTCTAGTGTCCTCAACTTTTTAGGGTTAGAGATTCAATTGCAGGGTACCAAAGCTTATCTAAACCACAATGCAAGATTTCCATCAAATTGCTCAGAATTTGAAAAACTGCCGAATCAATGCGATATATATATATATATATATTTATACAAAGAACATTTATGAGAGAAGGAAGCACTGATGTTTGTTCATATTGGAGGCATGATCTTCTCAAGCTAAAGACTCAAGTGGGATTTAAAACCAAAACCCATAAAAATGAGTAGAAATGAAATTTAATGGAACCAACAAAAGGAAGGTGACTGCTGAGCCAAACACACCATAATCAACCTGTACTCCAATCATCACACATTTTGCAAGACACCCAAACTCCTTTTATGTGCAATGCCATCTGGGAACTTATTCATTGTCCTTAGTTACATTTCCCAAGGTCAAGGGCATGAGTGGGAGCCAAGGAATAAATGTCAACTCTTCAGCAAAGGTACTGTTATGTTTCATAGCTTCATACCATGTGATGCTTGGAAGCCTGGAAGGGCATGAACTAAGAATTACTTAAAAGAAAATTCTCTGTTTACTGAATTAAGTGTCCTTTGCAAGGTATTGTTTTTATAGCTAGTGGACCAAACATTTAATTTGATGGACTAGGAGGACCAATCCAGGGCTCTACTAATTGAGGTTTTGGAAATGTGGGGAGGGGATCCTAGTCTCCTACAACAGAAGGGACAAGCCCCTTGGGACAAAAGGTATCAATCAATCTATCAAACCTTTGTCCAGATTCAGACTTGATTGGGATGAATTTAAATTGAGCTTGACCTCTGTCTATGCATATGAAAATTACATGTTCCAACTGGTTTAATGCTTGGTGGAATCAAATCAAGCTTTCTGGTTAACAAAAGAAAATTACAGACAAGAAAGAAGAAAGAAAAATATGAAGCAGCACATGAATTCAGATTCTGCAGTTCAAAGTTATTTTCTTTTCTCTGGTGGTCAAAGAATTAGGTTATCAACTTCTCAAATTGTCAAAAAGTAAAGAAGAATATTGAAGAAAAAATGGGCAAAAAAAAATTAAAATCAGAGAAAACAAGAACACAAGTCAGTATTTTCATGAACTCTTACAGGCATAGATCAACAAGGAGAACTCAACTCTGTCTTGTTCTTTCTGGACCAACTTTTCCTCCAACCAAAGCCTGCTGTCTAAACCACTTCTTGTCCGGAACATGAACACAGCATAGCCAGAAGCAGGATTGTAGAACCAGTCATGAACATCCCACATCAAATCAACAAGCAACCCATCAACAAAAATTGTCTGATTTCCTCTGAAATTCCACTGCAATCTCTTCACTCGGATCACCATCTTTTTGTCTATACAGACAGATAAAGCTGGATGCCTTAGGCCATCATTTTGGCCGCTGCATTTGATCAATATGTCATGTGAAATTCCGGTATCAGAGAATTGAGCCTTGGTGGAGTAAAGGGTACTACCGGAACAGTGTTCCTGCCGGGAAATTAAGGAGGCTTTGGCCACCCGGGTAGCGGCCTTGAACTTCTTGGTAACAGCTTCCTCCGCCATGTTATCCCCTAGAATAAGACCTATCTCTGAATCAACCATGACCAGGACATAGAACCCACCAACAGGTTCAGGTCCTGTATCATATTTGGCATTACAGAGATCCCAAAAGACTTCAATCTTCATATTATCAGATTCAATCAATTTGCTCCCTTTCTTCTTCCTGAACAGCCCGGAGTTTGTGTTGAGCTTGAAACAGGATGAAGGGTCATCTCCAAATTGCATGCTGAGGCCTTGGCCGGCTTGGTTCCGGCACCAAGTGACTCTGATCAACACTTGCTTTTGGGAGGAACAGAGAATGACTCTATAAATACTGGTGACTGCATTCTGAACTGAAGGGATTAGGGAGGGGGAAATACAAGCATTGCTTGGATAGCTAGAACATGAAGAATGAGACACATTTATTGCATTTTCACTAAAACAAGAAACCATATCTCTCTCTTTGTAGATGAAACTATGAAGAAACTGCAAATGGGTTTAGAGATCTAAAGGTTTTAGGGAGACTCAGATGGGTGTTAATTTCTCTTTTGGTTTGTACTAAGAAGAAATGGGCAGAACAAGGTAGGTGCTTTCGAACTGTCTCCTCCTCTTGCTTTCAATTTTTTTGAAGGAAGAAAAAAATTCTGGTTATGGAGATAACTTCCCAGGTACCTGACAGGCCCATAAGTATTAAATACAAATTTTCATAATCTGAATCTCAGAAGAAAGGAAAGAAGGAGAAGTGAAGGCTGAAGGGTTTGTTTAACTAGTTTTGGCTAGATCACATGGAACATTTAAAAACCAGGGAAAGAAGGGAACTGAAAAGGAGGCAGAAAAGAAGTGTGGGACATGATATCATGCTTTTGGGTTTTGCTTTTAATTTCTTACCTTATTCTGGCTTTTGTGATCAGTAAGACTCTTGTAAATCAGACAAGAAAGTGGGGTTAAATTGAATGGACATGGTAAAGAAGGAATGAAGCTTTTTAGGGAAGAGTGAAGGTGGAAGAACTGAGATGATATGCGTTGGCAAGATTTGATGAGATGCATTTTAAGGGTGATTTTTTTTTTTTTTTTAACTGAAAAATGATGCCAGGCAATGAGATAATTATGGTGGTGAATTTTGGATCCACAAAAGAAATTTTGCCCTGTAGACCCACTAACTGGAATACACCTATGATTAAAAGCAAGCACAACTTTGAGATAGAAACTTCACTTGATTTTCCCCCTTTTATTTTTTTTATTGACTCCTAATAAAATATTTTAAAAAATAAATTAAATAGACAAATAGTGTGAATATTTTAATTATCCTTTAATGCTAATCAATGTCATGTGGTTGCAGTTGGGAAGAAAGAACATTAAAACCCACGAATTTTTTTAAGTTATATCAAGAGTCCCTCCCCTTTTTTTGCTCTCCTAAACATCCCCAAAGAATATTAGTCATAGATTGCCTAAATATTATTTCAATGAGTAACGTAAAAGCTTTAGTGATAAAAAGATTGTTTGGAGGGATGAAGGGATAACAATGACTTAAAACTTCAAAAAGTTTTCAAAAGGAAAAGAATGAATAAAAAAAAGTGGATTAATTAGAGCATGCATGTGGGTATTATGTTATCATTAGGGTTTTAAATGAACCATGTATATTGGTGTAAATTGAGAAAGGTGAAGATGTTTATTCATGGACCCAGGATGATCTGCTCCCAGAACATGCCCCCACCATAGGCCATATTTTTTTAAGACAATGTATGTTAGTGAAGATTAATATAATTCGTTATCGTAAAGGTTTGAATTTTTGTTTTTAGACTCTATTGAATAGTCGTGTTCTTTTATTCTCTAATCAAATAGCAAATGAGATCATAAACTGGTATTATCTTAGTTGAACTGTTGATCTGTCATCATTAACTAATGATGCATGCGGGATGAATTAATTGATCCAATGCCTTTGATCTTTTGTTAGGTTGCCAAGAAGATTGATTCCAAAAGAAACTTGTTCTTTTCATCAATATAACAACATTTAAGATAAAGCTTTGCATAATTTCAAAAGGCAAATTAACAACGTGAGGCGGACAAAGTAAAAGGGAGAGATGGAATCCCACCAAATTGGACTAAAAAATCAAACCAAAGAATTTCTCATTTCTAACCAAATTCACAACACTTCAATTAATTAGGCATCCTAATTTTCTTGAATTTATGAAGTCCTCCTAGACATCAATGACTCTATCTCATGCCCATTTTTGAGCTTTAATTAGCAGGAGAAGAAGAATATTACCCACTTGCACAAAAGCCAACTAATTCCATTGGAATTGGGCAATTGGCAGTTCTTATTACTTGTTAGGCAAGTAGCAGTCTATTCTTATCATAAAATTTTCAACTTGCAGACAATTAAAGGGAATATTGAAGATATACAAAACCAATTTTGTTTTTTAATATATTAGAGTAAGTGATTCAAGCCTGCGAGACAAATAAAATAAAAAATAAAAGTTTGAACTCTTGTTATAAAAGTGTGAAAACTTTTTATATTAATAATCAAACAACTTCAACTCACAAAACTCCACATAGGCATAGCTCTTTTAAAACAAATAGAACACAAAAACATGTATATACACAGGGATAGATCCAAATGAGTTTAATTAATTTGCATACAGGATAACATTATAGTAACTTCTAAAAATATAAGAGATGTTTTATGTGGTTTGAACTAGCATTTTTTGCTGTTCTGACCTGAAAATACAAATAATCACTTTGAAACATAACTAACCAAGAGATTAATAAAATTTATGTGGGATGCTAGATTGTATCACTCAACAATTCCCTAAAACAATGGCTTTATTGCTGTATATGAAGACAAACTGAAGCTTAATGATCATGGGAAGAAGAAGTAGAAGAAGCTGGGATTGGATTAAAACGACATAAGCATGTGCAACTTCAGTTTTCCAAGCTAAAAGCTATTAAGAATGGGAATAAAAATGATAATGTAAGTCCAAAGATAAAACTGAAATGTTTAAAAGGAAAAAAAGGTCAAAGATAATATAATTTATGGAGAGAACTCTGAATCTGAGCGTTTTGTTGCTTCTGGGAAGTTGGGTATCAGCCAAAGTTGTTGTTAACAGAAGCCATAGAATTAATCAACGACAGTGACAAAATTCCCCTATTTTGTTTCTTGCATCAGTAGCCATAAAATTAGTCATTTGAGAATCAGATTCTAACTACTTGTAGTAGCTACAAGGCATCAAACCTAACAAATTTTTTTGGTTAAATCTCAAATTTGGTCCCTAAACTATTGTATAGATCCTCAAGTTGGTCCCTACTGTTTACCCATTTACCCCAAATTGATCATTTCATACAAAAATCAATTGACGTGTCTTATTATTAATGTGACATATGACCGTTAAGTTACTGTTTTTCATCGTTAAGTAATGGACACGTCAATTGTTTTTTTATACGAAATGACCAACTTGAGGTAAATTGGTAAATAGGTAAATAGTAAATACCAAATTGGGGGTTTGTACAATACTTTAAGAACCAAATCAACAATTTTTTTAGTTTAAGGATCAAATCAAGGTACATACAATAGTTTATGAATCAAATTAGGGGTTTAACCCATTTTTTTAGGTTTGCATTAGAATTGACTATTTTAAGATTTTCAACTAATAGCAATGGGGTTGGACAATAGTACCAGAAATGTTATGATCGTCTACTTTTATGCTGCAAGTCTCAACGTATGTTAATTTAGTAGATTGATGTTAATTACTCCCTCGATCTTAAAATAGTAAATGTTATTTTATTTTATTTTTAAATTAAAGATTTGAGAATAATTTTTATTTTTTCCCGTTTTACCTTTATAAAATAAATAAAATAAAGAAAATATTTTATTAGAGGATGAAATATTAAAGTTGAAAGATAATCACAAAGTTAAAATAAAAAAAAACATTTATTTTCTTTAAAATATGAAAAAAAAAACCATTATGTTAAAATAAATTTCAAATAAAAAAATATCTAATTATCAATAACTGATATTTGACAATTAATTATAATTTCAAGTATGTAATTTATTCGATTAAACTTAACATTTAACTGAGACTCAAAAACTGACTCCCCCAAAAACAAAGGAATTAATAAAAATAAAGAGTGAATATAAGTAATTACATTCATTTCAAATTATGACCAAATGAACTCTTTTTTTTTTTTTTTCTTACACAAAAAATATAATATTAAATTAATAGATATTTAAAAAAATGAAATCTAAAACTCAAGTTAAAAATCAAAATGGGCTCCATCTATTTTTCACTTTAAAAAAGCCGCAACGAGCAGCCACATGATGGGGGAATGCATGAACTTATTCCTTTCTTTGAATAATCTATAAATGTTACGTATTTGACAAGCCACGTTATTCTGTGGCGTGAAAAGTCCATTTGAAAATTAAGAAAAGTTTGAACAAAGTCAAAGTACATTTTGCATTTTTATTTCTCCATTGGTTTACTGGGCTGGACCTAAAGAAAACAGAGAAGGACCACCAGCTCTATCTGGGTACAGCCCAAAAGATTTTAACAGCTTAAATATAGGCCTGTTAAGAAGCACAAGAGTCAAGAGGCACGCGTTTTGCTGGTAGATTCTTTTTGGGCCGGCACCAATTTGCAATTTGGTTAAATACCTATCCATACTTGATGTCTTGAGAAAGGAACAGAGATTCATATCAGAGCTTTAGATTGTACATCAAATGTTGCTTGCAATGTAAATCTCAATTTCATCATTTACAGTTCTCTTTTAATTTGTCATGTAAAATACTTATGGTTAACATAGCACCTAGGAAAATTAGATTTTTTTTTTTTTTATGTTGCTTGCACAACGAAGAAATAATATTTTTCCATCCTTTACTCTACTCCATCCAAATACTTTATCCAAATGCTATGCAGCTTGAATTTGAACTTAGAATGTTTTATTTTTAGTAGAAGGAAATTATTATTAAATTATTTAAGTTATTGGCTCTAAGAAAATTAGATTGTATAGTTAGTCAACGATCTAAATAAGTCAGTGATCATTTCCTTTCGTTGGCAGTAAGACATCCTGAGTTTGAATTACATGACGTGCGGGTGGGATGAAATAAGGGATGGGAGATGATTGCTTTCCATTGTGCAACAAAAAAAAAAAATGGTATGAATCCATCCGTTGTCATTTTGGTGTATACATATACCATGATTTACGGTAAACATCCGTGGCTTTTTTAACTCAGATTTTTATGATTCAATATGTCTTCCTATCCTTGGATATAAGTTGTGAGGCTAATATACCAATTTCTTGATGGTTGGACCTGGGGCTGCCGAAAACATCAGTGGGCGTGTATGAAGTCATTCTTCCTCGGAACCAGTGACTGCTATGGCATTATATGTATGGTTCATAATAGAAAACGTGTTATGTTTCAGCCATAACAACCAATTAATCATA